TCTGCCTCCAGATCCGGAGGGCTGTTGCCTCTGCCAGACAAACCACCTGTAAGTGCTTCTGCTTCCTTCTGTGGGATCTCCATCAGTCTCCAGAGCAAGAGACATGGTCCAAACAAGTCTTTTGCATGCTGGTGATATGGCAGAGAATGGATGGTGTAAATGTCAAGATTATGAGCAGTACTGCAGCCAAATGATGACTACTTGGAAAGAAAAAAGCTTACAGAGAACACATGGGTTCTCTCAAAGGCAGTGTGGCCCAACTGTTCAAGAGCGCCATTTAGAGGTACAAGTATTCACCTTTATGTTTGGCATTGTTATCTCTGTCCCAGCCACTACTGGAAGGCCACAGAGGCCAATCCCACTTCTTAAGACTACCCTGTTTTTTCTTTTTTTTTTTTTAATGTCTAAGATTTTAGTATATTTAAACACAGAGGCATGCTTCATAAACTCCTTTGTTCAACATGAAAACCGTGGCAGTGTTTCTGATGAAAACAGAGCTCCCACTCCAGGATGGACACTGCAGATAATGTCTAAGTGATGGGAAACTGAGCAGGATTGAGAGTTACAGAGGCTGCTGTCCAAGAAGGTGTTGGTCACAGATGTGCACTTTGGGGTGTGACCAGGGGAGACATCCTGAGAGCAACTATCCACTGCCAGAGATACATGATACATGAGCAAGCTCAGATTTCTCAGGAACCTGAACTGGATCTGTTTTGCAACAGACAACTGCCCATCTAGGAAGGGGTAGGGAATCAGCTTTTAACATCATTCACAGTTCAGACAGAAATTCAGTATCCCCAAGCCTCATCTAAAATTGAAAAGTGCCTCCAAAGGAATTGTTTGTTGCTTTGTTTGCAAAAAGTGCAAACAACACATCAGAGAAGCAAAAATGCCTTGGTGGATTGTTTGGCTGCACACTTAGTCAGGGTATATTGTAATGAGCCATATGCTAGCTTTGCATAGTATTATGGGGTAAGCCAGCTGCAACGAGCAGCTGATTAGTCTGGTTGGAAAAAATCTTCATTTTCCATAACAGGGGGCCAGCAAAGGCAAGCATTCTGGCAGATACTGTCAACCCTCTGCTCCTGTCATCGTGCTATGGACCAGATGAAGTTAAGAGATCAAGGGAACCTCTGCTTTATTTTCATCCTAAAGGAGGGACCCCTTCTTAGCCCTGGGGTTATTTAATAGTAATGGGTTTTATGAACCACAACCCTTTTATGTTCTTATGGAAGAGATTTCCACCACTTTTCCCACAGCTGCCATTCTCACTACCACAGTCAGACCTCAGTCTTTTGCCATTCAATGTTCAGCATTCAGCTCAGCTGATGTGGTGGAAACCTCCTGTGAGGTAGGGGGATGGGAGCCTGATGAGGTGCAAGATCACAAAAGTGGCAACAGGACTGCAAATGTCCTTTCTGGCCCAAATGCCATCTCTTGCTGTGGCCAAAAGCTAATGCCTACACAGGAGTATCACAAGGGAGAGTAAATATTTCCTTCAGATATCAGCTTTGAACAACTTGTCTCCTGGGTACTTTTCAGAGTCAGAGGTGTTTCTTTATTAGATAAGCCTCAGAGGAATTTTGTACTTGTTAGTACTTGTTGATCCTTCACTTGAACCCACTTATCTTCAGTCATCTACAGCAGCCAGGCTACAGAGCTTCATATGTAGCTCACAATATCCAGTCATGGATGACCTGAAACTTCCTCTGTCAGGAGCAGAACTTCTTTAGATCGCATCTGTGCCAACTCCTGAATCAACAATTTGTGTGGACACCTTTGAATGGGTAAGAAATCCCCAGCCAGAAGGTGGGAACATCTAAAGTTCTTTTAAGGTCTTTTTTAGCCGTTATCGTTGCTTGTGTTTCCAAAGAAAAATTACCAGCCATTATCAGAATCTACTACAAACGAATATATCAAATTTGGAAACACAACATCTGTGAACCAGAATGAGGTTTTAGCTCTAAAGCTCTAAGACAGTTGATTTAACTTTTTTTTTTTAACCTTTTTTTTTTTTTTTTTGGTTTCCCAGAGAGGAACATAGCTTAGGGTTATCCCTTCGCATTTACATGTATCTAGTACTTTGAATGCTCTGGGTCATCATTACATACAGACAGAAAAGGGCAGAATGTATCTGGAACTATAATTTCAGAAAGGCTGGAAAAGAAGCCATGCAGCTGTTTCAGTTTTGAGTTGCCCAGATGAATTTGATGTGTAAGCCTCTAATGGCAACAAACCCATGAAGCGGTAGTAACAGAGCGAAGGTTGGGAGCGATGTGGAAAAACCTAGGGGGCATCACATTTATGGCTGAGTAAGAAGCCTGATTTGCTCTCATTAAAAGAAAATTTCCCCACAGACAGGATTATTAAGAGTATTCTTATTTGGCATGGTTATTAATGAGGAGGAGGAGGGGGTAAATTGTACATAAATGAACTTCACAGATCCGGGAAGATCTGAGGGCTCCATCAAGGAAAGATCATTGGCTAAGTGGAGTGCAGTGCTATCGTTGACCGAAACCTCTAAACATTGCATCCAATCCTCTCCAAAACCACTGGTCTCATGGGACAGTGGTCTTTCATTGCCAGTGAGTGTTTTTTTAACTTGTCCCTATTGCTTCTTGTCCTGTTGGAACGCAGCACTGAGAAGAGTCTGGCCTCTTCCTCTTCATTCCTTTCTATCAGGTTATTTACACACATTGTGAAGTTCTTCCCTAAGCCTTCTTAGCTTTAGGCTAGACAGCTCCAGCTCTTAGCCTTTCCTCACACAACAGATGCTCCAGTCCCTTAATCACCTTCATGGTTCTCTGCCGGAGTCAGTTTGGGACAGCTGTATTCCCCAGGCACAGGGCATTGTTGCATGGTGTTGATATGTGTAAGGCCAACGCTGTAACTTCTCTATGGTCAGGACTGGAAGCTGCAGGAGCCAGAGGTGTTATCTCAGCAGAGATGTGGCAGGAGCAGAGCAGAAGCATCATCTGGAAGGCAGCACCCCATGGAGGTGAATACAGAAAGCTGACAGTTCTTAATTGCTGCCCATATAGCAGGCAGAGCCTTGAGCTTGGGTGGCTGTAAGCAAGCAGGGAGCACAGGGAGGAAAACCCCCAGTCAGGAGTGCTGGAGGTCCCAAGTGAGACAGAGATGACAAGTGCCTGGGGAATGCAGGGTGCACACAGGAATTCGGGAGGCAGGACAATCCTGACAGGGAGCCATGTACCACCTCCTTTCCTAGGGTCTGTTCACCTTTGTTCAAGAGTCAAGGAGGAGCTGGATGTTGATGGTAAAGCTCCTTGTTGCTGGACAAGCTGGAATAAAGCTTGGTTGCCACAGAGTGTGGCTGAACTGGCTAGAGGGGGAAGGATGCAGGGGAGATGAGTGCAGAGCTCCCAAACACAAGAACATGTCTTCCACATCTTAGCTGAGCAATAAAATAAGACAAGTGCAGTTGGGTGAACAGCAGAAAGGTCCTGACATTTCAGAAATCCTTTGCTGTTTTGCCTTTAATCAATCTGTACTAAGCCTCAAATATGAAAAGAAGTGCTTAGGGCAAAGGTGAATTTCATTTAAAGAGTAAATTGCTTTGATGATTGTCAATTTGCCAAGGTTTTTTCAGCACAGAAATGGTATTATTTCCCAGGCTCCTGGCATGGTCCTAAAGGTCACAGCTCACAACAACTCTCTTCCTTTCTATTGTTCATACAATAAAAGCTACAAGCATAAAGATGTTGCTGCTGCTGCTTCTCAGTACCACTAGGTAAAAAAAAAAGTCTTAACAATATAAGTTGTTTTGTGTTCCTGGAGCTTTATTGTAAAGGCGTAATGAAAATGGACAACGAAAAGCTCATTGCCATTTTGCAAGATAACTATGTCACTTGTATTTATCTCCCTTCCCTTCTCTATGCAGTAGAGTTCATGCTCCTTCCCAAACCAGTCCCACTACTTCCAAGTGAAAACTTCTACCCCACGTTCACAATGAAGGCTCCCAAAATTATTTTCATAAAATACACTGCAACTACAGTTTTGTGGAGACTGGTGTAATGGAGAAAGAGAGGCATGTCCAGGCATTAAATGAAGAACAGTAAGATTTGTGTGGGTCCAGAACTGACCTTAGTGGCACCCACGCAATAGCCTAATGTCAGATTCAGGTTTTTTTTTCCCCTTCCCAAGAGCTGTGCCCAGGTGTGACCTCAGGAGGCACATGCACCTCGCACCCACCTCCCCAGTGCCGAGCCCTCACTGTAAGGGACCGGCCCGAGGCGTCGATGCACTGCCTCCCTGACCGCGCTCGGGCACAGCCCCGCTCCCCGCACAGCCCCTC